ATGTCCAGATCTACGTGTTCAATGAGAAGATAGTGAACGGTCACATTCAGCCCAACCTGGGGGACATGTGTGCGTCTGTGGCCGAGAGCCTGGATGACAAGGTAACGCCACGTCCATCTACACCGTCTTTTTTCCCATAATGCCGTTCTGCATAAATAGAGAAAACAATTGACTCTGTTCTCCATTCATATCAGAACGTGTCAGACATGTGGCTCATGGTGAAGCAGATGACGGACGTGCTGCTGGTACCGGCCAAAGACACGCTGAAGAGCCGCACCTCAGTCGAGATGCAAATGGCGTTTGTGCGTCAGGCTCTCGGCTTCCTGGAGAACAGGTGACTCTGGTTTTAGTTTTGTTTGTTTTTTCCGTATCAAGTTCCATCTGATTTCTAAACTAAACGCTGACCCCGACGTCCGTGTCTCCTCCGTCTTCAGTTATAAAAACTACACCATGGTCACAGTCTTTGGGAACCTCCATCAGGCCCAGTTAGGAGGGGTTCCTGGAACGTACCAACTCGTCCGCAGTTTCCTCAACATCAAACTCCCGGGGCCGCTGCCCGGCATGCAGGTGAATGACATCACAGGTCGGACTCAAAACGAGCAGCTTGAAAGTTATTGTGGGAGATAAAAAAAAAAGTTGATAAAGTTTATATTAGAAAAGACAACTATCACCCCCCCCCCCCCCCCCCCCCCCCCCAGGCCGCGGGACCCTGACGAGCCCAGCCACTTTTGAAACCATATAATACTGACAAACAACTCTTTGGCCAGTTGAAAAACAAGACTGACAGGTGCATTAACCGTGAGTCTTCAGTGTCGGGAAGCGGGTCCAAAACAGACAAGATGTTTGTTAAATCTGCAGCAGATGGTGTTTGTTGTGTGGAGCACTTTTCAATGTGACCTTCTCCAACCGTGGCGTCTCAGCAAACCCCCCCCCGCTCCTCCTCCTCCTCCTCCTCCTCCTCCTCCATACATTCATACATATATGCAAATGTGCAACTCCTGTATATACTGTACACTGACAGCCTCCATGTACAGGAGCTGGGTCGATGGAGCGACTGTTAAATGTGTGTGTGTGTGTGTGTGTGACAGGATGGTGAGATCGAGGGCCACCCCGTGTGGGCTGTCATCTACTACTGCCTGCGCTGTGGAGACCTGACTGCAGCCATGCAGGTGGTCAACAGGGTGCAGCATCAGCTCGGAGACTTCAAGATGTGGTTCCAGGAGTACATGAACAGTCCAGACAGACGGTGAGAGCCGGTCCCCGACTGCTCTGCTGAGCGTTCGATTCCAGTACTTTCCACGGTTTCCACAGTAAACTGCAGATATCAGAGATGTTGTTGATCAGTTTTTAGGCAATTGTTTGATTGTCTGATAATGACAAGAATCAGAAACTACAGAAAACACAAAAATACAAGGATAGATTTAAAAAGAAATTCCAACATAGAAATAACAGCAGTTAAAACCTTTAAGCTGTGTTTATCAACCTTAGGGTCGCAACCCCACATGGGGTCACCTGGGATTCAACTAGGATGGCCGGAAATGTCCAGTAATCGAGAATCATGAATTAAGATATTCTGTCCAGAACAAATATAGATACATTAGGACTCCAGCAGTCTTTCTTAGATGAACTGGAAAAGAAAGTCTGGTTAAGCAATGTTTGCAGAGATTAAGTTACACCAACACATACTAATTTCTGATTTTCTTAAACTCTGTTTCTGGTTTCAGCCTCTCTCCGACGTCAGAAAACAAGCTCCGCCTCCATTACCGCCGAGCACTGAGGAACAGCCCCGACCCGTACAAGAGAGCCGTCTACTGCCTGATCGGGAAGTGTGACATCAGCGACAACCACGGCGAGGTGGCCGACAAGACCGAAGACTACCTGTGGCTGAAGGTACAGCGCTGCGATGCATTTGGATGAATATAATCGATGAATATGTCAAGTCTTTCAGTCCAGTCGTGTCGTGTCGTGACTCGTATGATGTGAAATGTTTGTTCCCCACAGTTGAACCAGGTGTGTTTCGATGACGACAGCAGCAGCAGCAGCAGCAGCTCGCCTCAGGACAGACTGACTCTGCCCCAGCTGCAGAAACAGCTGCTGGAGGACTACGGTACGTGTCCCGCTCTGACCGCTCACTCTTTTCACGGTGTATTACGGCGTGTACACGCCACTAGTTATGTAGTTTTAGTCGTAGTCAAAGCTTTTTAAATCCAGAGCTGTAAAATGGAGTCGAAGGATCAGGTTTAATAATAAAAAAATTGTAAAAAAAAAAAAAAAATCAAGGTTTCTAAAGTAACTGAGGTGAAGCAGTTTATATTCTTATCCAATCAAAATGCTGTGTTGTTGTCTTGACAACAGAAATATTTTTTAAATATGTCATTGTTTTCAAAGCAGCATTTGAACAATTACACGACAAACAAAATAAAATAATTAAGTTCTAGTGTTTAGGAAAATATTATAAAGGATAAAGTTGAAGTTTTGGTGGGGAAGTTTACCAAAAAAAAAAAGTAAAAAAAATTCAGATTTTTAGGATCCTGACCTTTAACACACAATTCTGTACGATTTTGACCGTAATCCTTTTCTATAATTATATAGTGTATGAATTCTGAGGGTAAATCCCACGTTATACAGTCAGAGTTCTGACCTAAATCCCAGAACTCCCAAAAAAAATCCACTTGCCCCCCCGACCCCCCAACCTCCATCCTCCTCCTGATCTAAAGTAATAATCCAGCAGCCTACAGGAGCTGAACTGTTGCTGCTCTGAAATACCTGTAAGTCCTTGACAGAGCTTTAAAAAAATAAAAAATAAAGTGACTACACCTTCTAAAAAAGACATTAAAGGGAGAGTGGGGGAGAAAGGGGGAGAGTGGGGTGGGTGGGAGTGGGCATCAAGCTGCCTCTGTCACACATTTAGAAAACACACTTTCCTCCCCTGGGTGTTGTCTTCTCCACAGGCTGTTCCTGCTCTGCTCAGATAAGAGTCTCTCTCTCTCTCTCTCTCTCCCTCAGTAGCCGTCTTCCCGTTTTCCCCCCCTCTCCCATTCCTCTTTCGCCGTGGGAATTACAGCCCGAAGCCTGGTTCTGTTTTTTTTTTTTTTTTTCCTCCTGCTGCTCTGCTCCCTCGGTCGTCTGTCACATTTTTTCCTTCTTGCCCTCCATCTTGCTTCACAGCAGGATGTAAATCCCAAAGTCTCTCTCCCTCTCTCCCTCACTCTGTCTCTGTCTCTCTATCTGCCTCCCCCTCTCTTCACATCTCCTGCACACTCCTCGGCCTCATCAACCTCACCCGTTCTCTCTGTTCCTCTTGTCCTTAATTTGTAACATCTTTATCTCCCTCTCTTCCATCTCCCTTGTCTTCCTTTTCTCGCCTTTTTGCATTTTTATTTCACTTTCCCTTGTTTGCTCACTCTGCTGCAGCCCTCCCACACACACCCTTATCTTTTCTTCTTCTTCTTCTCTCTCTCTCTCTCTCTTTTTCTGAACTAAAGTGCTGTAAGTCTGAGATAAGGCAGTAAAATGGCTGACATGGTCCACCCTGCTCTGCTCCGCAAACTTTCAGCCAGGAAAAGGATTAAGGATTATAATTAAAAAGTAAAGTTGATGACTAAGTACCTGCTCTGGACACACACTGATTCTCTTAAACACACACTTACATGTGTGTTTCCATGGTAACCGTCAAAACCGTCGCCATGTGAAGTGACGTTAGTTCGATTATTTTAAGAGAAATGTTGCAGTTTAAAGCTAAGGTGAAGGGAAAGGTTTACAGGACGGTGGTGAGACCAGCCATGATGAATGGTTTAGAGACGGTAGCAACAGGCAGAAGACAGGAGGCGGAGCTGGAGGTGGAGCTGGAGGTGGAGCTGGAGGTGGCAGAGTTAAAGATGCTAAGTGTTTGTTCCAGGCTTCACACAGCACGTTTTTTTAAATTTGCATTACAAAAAAGCGTTTGATTTTTTTTTTTAAAGTGCTCAAAAAGGTCAAAAGTTTTGTAACAAACACCAACATTGTGGTGTCTCGGTTGACCTTTGGCGCTGAGTCATATTTTAATTTCGCCATCTTCTGTCCACCAGGTGAGTCTCACTTCTCAGCCAGCCAGCAGCCCTTCCTGTATTACCAGGTGTTGTTCCTCACCGCTCAGTTTGAGGCGGCGTTGGCCTTCCTGTTCCGCGTGGAGCGGCTGCGGAGTCACGCCGTGCACATGGCGTTGGTTCTGTACGAGCTGCGGCTGCTGCTGAAATCATCTGGACGGAGCGCTCAGCTGCGGGAGTGGAACAAACTCTGTCACAGAACACTGCAAATACACTATATATATATTTATATATATATATATGGTTTTATATATATATATGTTTGGTTTTGTTGCTGTAAAAAATGGGCTCAACCGTTGTTGTTGCAGTGAGTCAGGAACCTGGAGACCCTCCGATGATTCGACGCCTCAACTTCATCCGTTTGCTCATGCTCTACACTCGCAAGTTCGAGTCCACCGACCCTCGAGAAGCGCTGCAGTACTTCTACTTCCTACGGTGAGTAATCCTACTCTGGTTCTGACAGAACGCAGTGGAGGACAACAGAGTGAGAGAGTGTGTTTTTTTTTCTCCCGCAGGAACGAGAAGGACAATCAGGGAGAGAACATGTTCATGCGCTGCATCAGCGAGCTGGTGATCGAGAGTCGAGAGGTTAGTGAAACAGCTCCACCTGTTGTTACAGTACTACTACAGCACACCACTGTATACACAACCAAATGTGAGCTCAGCTTTTAACCCAGAGTATGGTGACTTACTCTGTTACTCTACTACTCTGTTACATTACTCTGTTACTCAAGTTCATCTTCAAGTATTTTGAAAGTTTAGTTTTTAGTTAAGTTTTTGTTGACTACAAAAATTTACAAAAACCTTTTGGACACTAAAGGAAAAGGAAGGAAAAAGATGATTTTTTTTAAGGTAGAAATAATAAATAATAACACCATAAAGACGACTATGAGGTGTAATTAGATTAGATGCTACGTTATTATTAATGTTAATTATTGTTAATAATGTTTTTTTCTGCTGCAGTTTGACATGTTGTTGGGGAGACTAGAGAAGGACGGCAGCAGGAAGGTAAGGACACTCCACCCACTGTCTGTTTTAGAGATGTTTACAGAGGAACCTTCAGTAAAAAAAAAAAAACAAAAAAAAAAAACAAAGCTTCAGCAGGTCATTTCAGTTCAGTGGAAATCAAACGTCACCGTAAGCTTCATGTTTCTGCTCGATTACTGTCAATACTCTGCCCTTTATCACCAAATGACCACTCGCAGACCAGGTCGGCCCTCCAGGATATTGATTCAGTTAAAAAAAAGAAAATCAATACAGTTAGACTATTGTCATCATTCAGCAGCTTTGTTTTAGGTTTTAAAAAAGAGAGTTATTTCTGAATGTGAGGTTTGATTTGATATATTTAATCTAAAGAGTTTAGACGACGTGAGTGAAAAGAAGCCTTTTTTTTTTTAATTACGGTTTGTAATTTTGTCTCATTCTGCTCTTCTTCTTCTTCTTCTTCTTCTTCTTCTTCTCTTTAGCCTGGAGTCATAGACAAATTTGCTGGAGACACTAAAGGCATCATTAGTAAAGTGGCTCTGGAGGCAGAGAACAAGGGCATGTTTGAGGAGGCGGTGCGACTCTACGAGCTGGCGAAGGTGAGCGTCGACTGACGTTTACTGAACCAACTAAAACAACAACAACAACAAAAAATCTTTTTTTTTTTTTTTCATGTCTTCAGAACCCAGACAAGGTGATGGAGCTGATGAATAAACTCATGAGTCCAGTCGTCGCTCAAGTCAGCGCTCCCCAGTCCAACAAGGAGAGGCTGAAGAACACAGCGGTGGCCATAGCTGAGAGGTGAGGAGCACATTCATCAAAAAAAAAAAAAATTTAAATATTTATTTTTAATTAGTACAAAATATATAATAAAAATGTCACTTTTCCACTATCTAGGTACCGCTCCCAAGGCGTCTCAGGAGAGAAATCAGTGGACGGCACTTTTTATCTGCTCTTAGACCTGATGACCTTCTTCGACGAGTACCACGCGGGTCACGTCGACAGAGCCTACGACGTAAGTAAACAAAAATTATATGAATTCATATTAATTAATTCACTTAATTATTAAAACCATAGGTGATTGATGGTGTGAATGTCAGTGCCGTTCAGGTCACCTCGATGTACTTTCACTTCGCCGCCAGAAATGATTTCCAAAAAAAACCACACCACACGCTGATTTTGACCTTTGATGACTCACTCCTTTTTTTTGTTTTGCTGATGACACTGTGTTTTACGTGTAAGCCTGCTGTTGTTGATATCGCCCCCTCCTGTTTGTGTCAGGTGATGGAGCGTTTAAAGCTCCTTCCTCTCAGTCAGGACAGCGTGGAGGAGAGAGTGGCTGCTTTCAGAAACTTCAGTGACGAGGTGAGAGAAAAAAAAACGAAACAGCAGTTTTTCTCTCTCTTTCCTGTAAAAAATAAATAAATAAAAAGAGGGTTTTTATAAACGTATTTACTTCCCTAGGTGAGACACAACCTGTCTGAAGTACTCCTCGCCACCATGAACATCCTGTTCACCCAGTACAAACGCCTGAAGGGGGCGCCAGCAACAGCGGGCACACCAGGGCGAACACAGAGGACCATGGAGGACACAGACATGGTGAGAAGTCTGTTTTTGAAAACATTTCTGTCCCCAAGGGGGCGACATGACATTAAACCATTGAACCACTGCTTTTACACACAGAAGGTCTTGGGTTCAAGTCCCAGTGGAACCATATAAACTTAATCTTCCTCATGTCAGTCGCTTCTAATAAAAAGCATCTGCTGAATGCACAAATGTAAAATGAAATATTCTTTCATTTTTCCCAGAAGCCACCCTAATTTTTTTTTCCCCCTTCCCAAAAAGGACCACTGCCTCATATGTAGAACAATGCTAATGATGCAGAACCTGCTTGGTAAATCCCTGTATCGTTTTCCTTTGTTTCTGTTTTCAGCATCTACGAAACCAGGCCAGAGCCCTGATCACCTTCGCTGGTATGATTCCATACAACATGGCCGGAGACACCAACGCACGACTGGTCCAAATGGAACTAATGATGAACTGAACCACATCACACACACACACACGTACACACACGTACACACACGTACACACACACCATTCAAATCCAACACTTTAATTTACCTGTCTTTTTGTTTGTGCGTGTGCCACCATTTTCATCAGGTTTTTGCATTTTAATTTCATCTCCTCATCTTCTCAGTTTTTTTTTTTTGTTGTTGTTGTTTCATATTTGTATCTGTAATAATTTGGAATAAAAAAAAACGTAGTCTACTTTTCAGTTTCCTTTTTAATCTCCTTTTGTTTGACATCATTTAAAAATCTAGAGCTGAGTTTTTCAGTTTCTGTTGCAAAAGTCAAAGAAAAAAAGACAGTCCAGTCTTTGATTTGCAAAAAGAAACTGAAGGGAAGCTTTTAAAAATTCCAATTCCCGATGTTTTCACACCTCTTTGTTTTCATGAAGGCTGAGTTCAGACTCGTCTTCATCCTCGATCAGGTCTGTTTTCATTCACATTCTCACTTTTTTTTTCTTTTCTTTACTGCCTTGAACAAATCATCCTATAAACAGCGACGGTCGCCGTCTTCACCTGCGTTCATCGTAATCATCAGTACGTTTGTGTTTCTATATCTGTCAGAGTTCAGGTCTGGTCTTTGTCCTCCTAAAGTCATCTTCACCAGAGGATGAAACAAGTTATAAATGATCACGTTTCCTATGAATTAAAGTAGAAATAAATTACACAAGATTAGTAACAAGGTGGTCAAAAAAAAAAACATTTAAGAGAAATTAACAAATTTCCCGAAGAACAAACTCAGTGTAGCCTCAACTAATTTATCATTTTAAAAAAAATTACCAAACAGATAAAAGTAGTTCTTTTAGAGCTTGAATCATAGCTAAATAAGCTAATATGATTAAAGTTACCAAAGGAAAAAAAACAGTTTGGTATTCAGTGATATTCAGTCATTTTATTTCTTTTTAAATAACTGACCTTGGACGTGACTGGTGGACAGACTGATCTGTGGTCAGTGACATCACAGGTCTTTAATTACATGTTTAAAAAAAAAAGGTAAACCCAGAACCACGGCTAACCGGTCCACTCGTACATCCACCAGCAGACACTGCCTTCAGACTAAACACATTCTCACTGTAAAAAACACTCAGCCACCACCGCCTCGGTTAAATCTGTGGCCCACACTCCAGTGTCCTCCAGTCTGGCCTGAGAGAACACAGATGGAGGATCAGTCTGTCTTGGCTGCTCCACATATTAACTGTACAGAGATGTCGGGTTCATTCAGGGCCACGGACGGAGCTGAGCCAAAACAGCATCGGATCAAAAACGGACCAGACACGGTTCGGTGTCAGAGAACGTTAGATCAGGTTTGTCGCTCCATGTCCCCAGTTTTCCACCTGCACAACTGTGTCTGTTATACATGCATATATGTGTATGAATGTGTGACGTGTTGAAGGCCCCGGTGGACAAACAGAGGAGCTGCGTCTCAGGTGTGTGTGCTGCAGCTGGTGTTGTGAATCAGGCCGATGACAAACACCTCCAAAAACCCGGCTATTTCACAACACCAGGGTGGCACCGCACCACTGACCACGAGAGCAAGGGCAACGGCAAGAGACACGGCGAGGACACAGCCCGAAATATATACTTAGAAGGACTTCAATTAACATCCAAAAATGTGTTTAAAAACCCAGGAACTCAGTGTCTAAGTGTCCTCTACACCAAAAGGTATACAAAAGTTTTACGTATTTATATTTTTATTTTTTAAGTTTAAAAATGTATTACTTGATTTGTAACATTTTCATCTGTTTTAAGCATCTGATAAATAAAAACAAAATGATTTAATTACTTTGTTTTTTTCCCTCTCTGAAGCAGAAACATTTTAGCCTCTGTGGTCTACAATAAATAAAAAAATTACACTTTTTGGATAAAATACAGTTGCACATATTTTATTATTTTGATGCTAAAAAACATTAGCTTCTGTTATAAATAATAACAGTAAGAGCAGCTTTGGTCCAGTGGAAAGAGAATGTTGTCCAAGCAGAAGTTTAGGGGTTAGATTCCAGTAGTTTGGCAAAGTGACTTTGACTTTGACCACTGAAGAGAAATTGCTTATTAATCCCTCCCATAGGGGGAGCCAACACCCTGTGTCTACAAAGCTGTATCCAATTGTGAGTATAATCCAAGTTGAGTTTTAAGTTAAATTTGTAACAAAAATAAAGGTTTAAGTGAAATATTTCAAGCTAGTTGGAGACAAAGCTCGTCATGGACTCAGTTGTACAACAGTGCCTTCTAGCGCCTGGTGGAAGGATTGCACCAGGAGAGTCGTGTTTGTTCCTTTACTCCATGAAATAAATTGCTTTGCAAATAGAATGAAAAGAGAATGAAAAAAAAAAACATAAATTGCTGCAAATTCTCATTCTGAAGCGTCTCCTCGGAGACAGATGGTGTGAAACCCAAATCATCCTGTCCTAAAATATGGACTCCTGCCTCTGGGTGACATGACTTGGCAGTAGAGGAGACACAGTGACCCACAAAATGACATCTGCCCTGCAGGACCTGGAACATTCCAAAAATATGCTGTTGTATTTTTAGGGTTTTTTTTGTTTGTTTTTTGTTTTTTTACATTTGTACAAACATTTGTTTTATTACCAAGAATGAGAAAAAAATAAGATTAGGAATTACAATACTTTATTCTTAAGAGGAACTTTTAGTATTAAATCAAGTAGTAAAGTAGTAGTAAAAAGAAAATTTACAAATAAATTGGTTTTGGACATTTATCTAATTTAACAAACAAGGTTCTAAAAAATATCTTTTTCTTAAGAGTGACTTGATCAGACTAATGGTCAATCAATAGTAAAAAAAACATATTTACAAATACATTTTTGGAAATGTATCTAATTTAAACACATTTATACTTTGCGTTGTCAAAAATGTCTAAATTAAAATTTAACAGAGTAGTTTTAATTAAAGTTATTTTGTACATATTTAACCCTAAAGCAGCTGTTGGTTACTATAGGCTATCGAGGGCGCCATCTGCTGGACGAGGTGATGCTGTAAACCATTGGAAAGAAAATCGAATAACTAATATAAATAAAACAAATAGTAACAATTAGTCGCGTTTTGTCTTTTTTCCCTATTCTTTTTTCTTACTATATTGCACTGTTTAAATAAATAAACATCAAAATGTATTAAAATTAACTTTGTCAGTTACGTTTAATATCAGGAAATGTATAACAGATTTAATTAAAGCAGTATCTTAAAACGCCAGTGTTATTGATTTGAAAACTAATAGAAGAAAAAGAATAAATAAATAAATAAATCACGTTTATATGGCCTGGTTTCGCGGGTGCGAGCACGAGCACGAGCAGTGCTAATGCAGCAGCTAATCACAGCTGATGAGCAGCAGGTGTTGAAAATCACCACAGCGGACACGGAGTCTCTCTTAACACCGACAGATTTGTACTTTAAATCGAGATATTTCGATATTTTATAATGAAAAAAATGACGCCAAAAAGTTTGGAGGTGAGTTTGAAAGAGTTTCAGCGGAATCACTGCTAACTTTTATCCTGAAACGGACGAGTGTGTGGTTGTATTTTCAACATTATTTATTAGCTTTTAAATCGTTTTGTTTGTTTCATTTAAATATTTTTTTTCTCCAGCTGAGTTTTCTCCTCGTGCTTTTGCTCGGCTTCCTGTACCACAGTGTGGCAGGTAGAGTCTGGTTTTTAATAGATTTGTTTTTAAATACATTCACAGATTTAGGGAGTGTCTGCCAATAAACGTTGTTTCTGGCTGTGTGTATTTGTGTGTGTGCAGGTGTAGGACTCTGCAGCGTCAAACACTGCACCGACCGCTCACGGTGCGTCCTGTCCAAGGACCACAGACGCTGCAAATGTATAGTGGGATATTATGGAGATTATTGTGAGAAAGGTATGTGCCAGTAATATTCCCAAACTTCCTGCTACTGATGTCGCTTTTTTTCTAAACTTCCTGCTACTGATGTCGAGTAGGCTGACTATTTTCTTTTTTGGTTCGGTACGAAAATGTTCCCCAGTCACGCTATATTTTAGGGATGTCCGATATTAACTTTTTGCCGATATTGTCCAAACACTAAATTTACAATTTCGATATCATCCGATACCGATATAGCACTCGGTAATATTTATTTAATTTTCTGTACAAATCACTGAGTTGCTGGCGCAAACATTCTGATTACGACCCCCCCTATGGTTGACAAAAAGAGCTGCAATGCTGCCATCTAGTGACTAGAGGCTTGTTTATCGTTAGAAATGTTCTGTTCGTGTTTTTTGAAAGGGAAAACCTTTACGGGTATGGGGAGGGGGGGTGAGAGCCCGTGAATATTATCGGACCTCCCTACTCTATATATTTAGACACAGTTCTGTGCAAAAGTTCTAGGCAGGTTCTATAGTTTTACGAGTGCAGCCCTGATATATTTATATATTTTTCTTACATATTTAACATGTTTTTAAAAACCACCAAGTTTTCCTGGAGGTTGTTTCAGTCTTTGCCTGACTCCCCCCTCTCCCCCCCTTCCCCCCAGACGGTCAGATCACAGTGATGTGTGGCAGCAACTACATTGCCATCAGAGCCGTTCAAGATTTCTTCCAGTACTTCAACGTGCCACTGGAGGCTCTGCACCTGCCTAACCAGACCTGCCGAGCTGAGATAGAAGTTATTGACAACGTCACCTACTACATGTCCAGCGTCTCCAAGGAGAAGTATCTGGCCTGTGGAGGCAAGCCGCTAGAGGTACTACTGCAGTACAATTGTATCGGTTTTGTGCGTCTGCCTTACTGCAAGAAGGTCACAGGTTCAATGCCTGGTCGTAATTGATGGACAAGGTGTTTTTCTTGTTTGTTTTTTTTTTGTTTGTTTTGTTTTTTTGTTTTTTTTTTCCAAAGTCATTCAGTGTCTTGCAGAATTGAGTTAATTATTCACTCTTAAATCAAGAAGCCTAATTAACTTTTTGCCGATATTGACCAAACACTTCCGATATTAATCAATACCAATATAGGCCTTGTGATATTTATTCATTTATCTGTACAAACCACTGTATGAGTATGATAATAATTAAATGATGGCAATGCTGCCATCTAGTGACTTTCACTTTAATATACAGCTGTTTTTCCCCAAAAACTATTTTTAGTGCCACACATCATTTGGCCAAACCCAGGCTTTGCGTTATCGGGTTTTCATTATCTAATAAAAAAAAAAAAAAAACTAATATCGGTTGGCCGATGTTATCGGTCATCCCTACTCTTCAACTACCACAGGTGTGATTTTAAAAAAAACAAAAACAGAAACAGAACTCTGAATGATTACAGAAACCAGACCTTGGTTTCCAGTCAACAGGCATCAAGTCAAGCTTGTCCACTGTTACGCTTCGTTGTCATTTCTCCTCTACGTGAGATCAAATGCAAATCTGTTGCGTTTTGTTGAAGTGGAACCAAAATCTAACAAATGAGACACTGATCTGAGGTCAAGTATAAAAGAAGAAAATAGATTTTTCACTGATTTTTGGGCGTTTAAAAAAAAAAAAAAAAAGCAAAGTTCTGCACACAGTGGCACCTGCTGACCAGGACTGAAGGACAGTGAGAAAATGTTTGTTTTGCAGACAAACTTCACTCACATCACCTACGCCCTGACCCTGATGTCAGACCCTCAGGTGAGCGGGAACATCGTCCGAGATCCTGTCATCAAGATCAACTACACCTGTGTGTTTCCCTACATCAGGAGCGTCAGCCTGCCGTTCCCCATTGTACCATTCTCCAGGTAGGCTGCAGTGACAATGAAGGATTTTCATCAGTAAGTCAGTGTCACATGACCAAGTCAGTGTCACATGACCAAGTCAGTGTCACATGACTGTTTGAGTTCTAACAGACCTGCTGTTCTCCACCCCGGCACAGTGAGATGGTGGTACGAGTAGATGAACTCGACGCCACCATTCAGATGCTGCTGTACACCGACCACACCTACACCAAGGCCTTCACCAGCGCCCCCACCATTGAACTACGAGACAATGTGAGTAGAAACCAAAATTTTTTTTTTTTTTTTTATACAGTGGCCCCTCGTTGCAAAAAACTGCAAAGTAGAGACGTGATAGTTATTATATAATTTACAAAAAGTAAAAAAAAAAAAAAACTTACCAAAACTTTCATAAATCTTGTTTACCCGTATCTATAGGTTATTTCTTGCAATACCCTGTATGTATGTGTTACAGAATGATTTGGATTTATTTTTTACTATTGTTTTCTTCTTAGGCTCGTTGCAAAAAACTGCAAAGTAGAGACGTGATGGTTATTATATAATTTACATGTATGTTAACCCTTTAGGAGGCATCGTAGGGTATGTTACAAAAAAACTGCAAAGTAGAGACGTGATAGTTATTATATAATTTACAAAAAGTAAAAAAAAAAAAAAACTTACCAAAACTTTCATAAATCTTGTTTACCCGTATCTATAGGTTATTTCTTGCAATACCCTGTATGTATGTTACAGAATGACTTGGATTTGGATTTATTTATTTTTTTCTATTGTTTTCTTCTTAGGCTAGAAAATGTATTGCAAAATTTTATTGCAAAAATAATAGAAATATTGGAAATTAAAAAATGTCTGTGTACTGCAAAAAATCTGTGATGCAAGAATACATTTAAAATATTAAAAACCTGTGAAGCAGTGAGGCCGCGACAGCTGAACCACGATACAGTGAGGGACGACTGTTTTATTTTATTCCGTGAACATTCCTGAAGAACAAACTCCCTAAAAGCAAATGTTGTGCAGGTGTTTGTGGAGGTGGCCGTGACGGAGCCGGCAGGTTTCTTCCTGCTGCGGGTGAACGAGTGCTGGGCCACACAGAGCCCACAGCCCAACTCCACTGAAGGACTGGTCCACACACTGCTTCAGAACGGGTCTGGTCCTCTGAGCTCACCGACACTTCCTGTCACTCACCGTTAAATTCAACCAATCACATCCTGTCTCCTCCTCCTCCTCCCTCAGCTGTGTGAACGACCCAACCGTCTCCTTCATCAACGGGAGCTACGGAGAGGCCGGACGGAACGGGGAGACCTCCACCGTGCGCTACAGCTTCAGCATGTTTCGCTTCACCACCGAGCCAAACAGTCTGTATCTCCACTGCACGGTGCAGCTGTGTGAGCCCGACGACGCCGTGTCCTGTACTCCAGTGAGTCCACCGACTTCACTTTGAGCCACGCCGCACGATGAAGGCGTCCATTCAGGACCAGCAGGTTACACTCACCTCTGTTCCCTCTTCGTTTGATTGACAGATCTGTAAGTCGGTGAGTAAGAGGGAAGCAGTGAAAGCAGACCCCAGCCAAGGTCTCCTGTCATATGGACCCATCAAGATCGAGGTTCCACACAGACCTCGTGCCAGTAAGTTCATTTAAGAGCAGCTTCTTCTTTTTCTTTTTCCCAGCTGATTTGACATCAACTCTTGCCCCTGTCTCAGGTCTGCTGACTACAGTGGTGCTGTCTGTAGCAGCTGTCTGGATCGTAGGCTTCTTCCTCGTCATCCTCGTCACTGTGACGAAGGAAGGTCAGAGGAGGCTGTCCCAAAGCCAGGAGCACTGACCCCCCAAAAATGATGCAGATTTTGTAGACGGAATAAAAAAAAAAGAAACAGAGAAAGAGATGTGTTCTTGAATTGATCTCCTTGTTAAAAATATAAATAATAATAAAAAAGATATTGTATGTTTTAAAAACAAAAGAAGAAAAAAAGACATTTTACTTAAAAAAAAAAGAGATGGTGATGATGTGGCAGTGACTTAACAGTTAAAAGAAAAATGTTGGGGGTGGTCGAGGTGCGGAGTTGGCGAGGTGAGAGACGGAGTCAGGGGGAGAAATGGAGGGGCGGAGATGGATGTGTGGGTGGTAAGGATGGGGAAAGGAAGGAGGGAGGGAAGGATATTGGGGGAGGGGTCATATCTTGTCTGCACAATGGCAATTAGTGGCCTAATCCCCCCCCCCAACCCTCTCATATTCTAAAATTAAAAGTTCAAATTTATGAATATATTGTTTTGGGGTTTTTTTATAATTCTTTGGGGTGAATTATAATATTCTAAAATTGAAATTTATGAATGTATTGTTTTGGGTTTTTTATAATTCTTTGGGGTGAATTATGTTATTATTATGGGGTGTAATTATATTTCTATATATTCTATCCTAAACTTATTTGGAATTATTATTAAAGGCGGTCAAGCGCTTTATCACCAGCTGTAGTTTCCTATTCGAACCAGCAGATGGCAGACTAACTCGTCTTTTTCAGTTTTATTGAGAAGGAGGAGACTCCTGTCCTTCCCAGAGCAAATCAATGAAAATAACGCTTTATTATCTGCCATTCAGCTTTTAATGGAACTCTCAGAGCCAGTGCGGACCGAAGAGAACCGCCGCTGCAACCAAAAGAATCCCCGGAACCTTCATCCAGCTCTGATGCCGCTGCTTTTCCGCCAAGTTTAGGAACTTCGTTTCCACTTTTCATTGTGTTTGGACGGATCAGAAGGTGCCAGGGACTCTGATCAGACCTTGCACTTCTGCAAGGACAAAGGATTTTCATTTGACCGCAAGCAACAGCTGTGGCTTTTAGCAATGGAACTACGAGCCGTGTGAGGGCGTCGTGTGCGTCACCATGAAGCCGCTGCTGCCGCTGCTCTCCCGGGTTAAATCACACTCTCTGCTCCCAGGAAAGGATTAGTGGCATTTTGATCTAGAGCTACAGGAGGTAAAGAAAAACCAAACAACAACAACAAACAACAACCCGATAACTTACAGCACTTGTTCGGTGCTGCATTATTTTCCACTTGGTTAAACAAGCAACAAGCTGAAGGTCTTGAGGACCATGGCAGTTCGCCAACAGTGGACACAGATGTCCATCATCATCATCATCTTCATCACAGTGTCGTCCCTGTGCTCCGTGGTCCTGAGCAGCTCGGTGACAGAGGAGGAAGAAGGCTTCAACGCTGAGGTAAAAAGTGTGTGTGAGGTTAACTTTGTATGTATGAAGTCATCGGTGTGTATTATAAAAAAATGTACACAGTATCAACAAAGGCCACAGAGAGCACATCGTGTTTACCTTTTAAAAAAATATATAAATATTTTGTCTGTATAAACAGGATCCCGGGAAAGAGGAATTCACATTTTTAAAATATTTACTTTTTCTTATCCGTCTCTGACAAAATACTTTTTATTTACATTTAAAATAATTTTCATTTTTTTGGCCAATATTATTGTTATATACATGTTGTTACTGAGTTGTTACTGAGAGCTGACCTGTAAATGTCTTTACTATGATAAAGGGTTACCTGACTCAATGCTAATTTAGCATTAGCAAGTTAGCATTTTGTTGATTAAAATTTATCGATAATTTTGGCCATCTTGAATTACTTTAAACTACGTCTGACCTAGTTTTTGGGTGACCTTAGTTATTAGGCTAACATTTACTAATTGGTTGGCAGTGTTTTAGTGGCTATTATCGATATTATTTTAGCAAACATGGAACGACCGTAAAGTAATTCCTTCAAATCTTTCTAGTACATTTTGGCTAGCCATTTCTTTTTAGATAGCTATTACTTCCGGCTAGCCTTTAACTTTTTCCTTTATTTTAGGCTTTTTGTTTAAGTTGCTGGTGGATTTTTTTTTTTTTTTTTGGATCAATTACAGCTACACCTAGCGTTTTTTTAGTTGAATTGCATCTGAGTAACTTTTAACCTTTCCTAGGAAATGTTTGAGCTATTTTTACGTCATATTGTCTTTAGGCCCTTGTATCTATAAGTGGTGTGTTTTGGTTGGAGCCGTTGGGACTTGTCATGCAATGTCATGCAGGTTGGATTATTCTGTGAGTGTCTATTTTGTGAGTGAGGAACAGCCAGTGGTGGAAGCTTTTGTTGGCGCTCTCTTTTTTTTTTCTTTTTCTGGAGCTGTCATCTTGTTTGAGTAGCTATGTGGCTTCATGAACTATTTCTCTTTCAGCAAGCATCAAAAGAAAAAAGAGGAAAAAACAACTCTGTGTTAGTTGATTGTTATAAAGTATGTACACATCAGCAGAGCTGTGTTTATCTCCTTCACCACTGGATTGACATTAAGTTTAATTATTGTTTGGAACGTCTTTATTGTTCTCCCTGTCATATCATGATCCAATTTGGTTCTCCTTCCATGCATCCTCTTATGGCCTAAACTAAGTTTATTTAAATAAAGTTAACTCATTTAGGTTTAGGTAACTTAATATAATTATACCAAATGGAACCTGACCTAATTTATAACACAGTTATCTTACCTTATATTTTATTTGTCTAACTAAATAACTGATTAAGTAACTTATTCACCCCTACAAATTAAAGTACTATTAAGAACCTGATAACATGTATACTGTGTTTATATCTGTACAAACCACTGTAGTAGAGTTGCTGAGTTGCTGCCACCTAGTGACTGGAGGCTTGTTATTATTCAGGCGGCATTACAGCACTGTCCAGGAAGCCGTATTCCATTGGAAGACCCTGACGCCCTCTCGGCACCTCACCGTGCCCCCCCAGGGGATCCCACCCCACTATTTGAATAGTACTGGTCTCACCTAAGTTGAATCTACTCTTATCGTGTTTTATCTGTTATATTTTCTCCCTGTTGTTGCGTAACGTCTGTTCTGTCCCTAAATGTCTGTCCTGTCTTTTTACTGCTGTCCTGATTCCATCGTGGCCGTCAGGGCAGGAATAAAAAAGAAAAAGAAAAAAAGAAGAAGGGAAAAATCAGGAATGTTGTAATGTTAATGGGATCCATCTGTTGTGTACGGCTGCTGTCTTCCTCCACTCTCTCCTCACATGCCCCCGGTGGACATTAGACAGCTGTTTGTGTCTGGATTAGAACAACAATCCCCACTGCCTCCAGTGGTCTGCTGTGGTCAGACGTGTGTTTACGTACGACGTCACTCACGTGTCAACAAACAACCTTTTCAAACAACTAAACACAGGTGTGTTTGTCCCCCCCCAGGCGTGGCTCCGTAGGTTCGGCTACCTGTCCCAGGCCAGCAGACAGATGTCCACCATGCAGTCGTCTCAGATCCTGTCCAAAGCCATCGGCGACATGCAGCGTTTCTACGGTCTGGAGGTGACCGGCGAGATGGACGCCGCCACTGTGACGTAAGAGCTTGTTTTCCGTCTGGTAAACAAACACGTTTTTTTTTTTTCCCCTCTCTGGGTTTTTGTCTACACTGACCACAAACAGACCCCACGGAGGCTTGTGTGGTGTGTAGGAGTTTATGTTTTTCATGTGTTTGTTTCTTTTGAAAAGTGAATTCCTCATTTTTCACACTTTTTTTACATTTTTTTTATTGCGAACATGGAATGATACGAGGCCGCGAGTTTGACTTTCCAGCCTTTGAGGAAGAAGGGCAGCAAACCACATCTCAACAACCACACGTTCTGGAGCAATTTGTTCTGCAGACAATAACGACTCCAGGATCACATGTTCACGTCAACACTGGCAACTTAAACAGTGTCTGATCCGTGCTGGAGTCCGGCTGAAATGTGTGTTCCATAAATGTCATCTGTTCACAAACGATTCTGCTCCGGCTCTGGCGTCACATCCTTGAATTCACGCTGTACGTGGGGTGAAGGAAACACAACAAAGTTTTAAAGCAGCCGTGTCAAACTCAAAGATTCACAGTGGACCAAAATTCACAGCAATTTCTCATGTTTTCCCTTCTCTCCAGATCTGTAATGTAAAATATTTACATATGAAACAAACTTAGTTTTGCTTAAACATTGAATCTGGAACAACCAACAGTTAATATTATAAACACATTTGAAATCACTACTGACATCAGTGGTATTTGTTTCTTATCATTTCAAGTTCCTTTTGTAATGTAAACATCACAGACCAACAACAAAAAAAGCAAAATAAAATATAATTACACTGTGGGCCAGGTTTGGCCCCCGGGCCTGAGTTTTTTTTCTTTTTGGTTTGTACTCACCTGGGGGTGAATATACTCACACAGTTACAGTGAAAACTGTGTACTATTACATGTTGACGGTGTATTTTATTTATTTGTTATTGTCTTGTCCTGTAACGTCTCCGTGCAGGGCCATGCGTCGACCTCGCTGCGGCCTCCCTGACAGAAAACCTGAGGAGATGGCGGACGCTGCACGGAAGAAACGTTACACGCTGACTGGGCAGCAGTGGAACAAAGACCACATCACCTTCAGGTTTGATTTCTTCTAAAACTTCTTTAAAACTCGGTCGAGGCAGCACGTTAACAAAAATATATTTTTTTCTTCAGTATAATGAACCAGCTCATCCCGTCCTCGCTGGGCGAGGAGCGGACGTTTGGAGCCATCCGACGGGCCTTCGACGCGTGGAGACGAGTGACTCCTCTCACGTTTGAGGAGCTTCCTGCCGAGGGCGACATCAGGACCAATGGCAGCCAATCACAGCTGGCTGACATCCTGCTGCTCTTTGCCTCTGGTTTTCACGGAGATATGTCTCTGTTCGATGGAGAAGGCGGGTCATTGGCCCACGCCTATTATCCTGGACCCGGGATTGGTGGGGACACTCACTTTGATGCTGAGGAACCCTGGACACTGGACAATGAAAACCCTGCAGGTCAGTGGAGGTCGTCTGTGTTTGATCCAAAAAGACCAACGACATCTTAGTCTGACTCTGTGTCCCATCAGGTATAGACCTGTTCCTGGTGGCCGTCCATGAACTGGGTCATGCCCTCGGCCTGGAGCATTCGGACAATCCCAGCGCCATCATGGCTCCTTTTTACCAGTGGATTCACACCGACAACTTCACACTGCACGAAGATGACATCAGAGGAATTCAGTACATATACGGTGAGACCTGTTCCTGCTCTGACTTCTGTCGTAAATGCAACAATTGACCCAATGGAGTTACAACAAATAAATACACATTTTATCAAATGGTCAAAAAGATTTGGTCACTGCTTAGGTTCATCAAATCACATTTTAGGCTAAGCATTTTCTAGCCTAAGAAGAAAAACAACAGTAAAAAAAAAATTAAAAAACAATTTTTTTCTGCCATATTTCACGACCTACGTTGCCCCTAAATGGTTCGTAAAGGGTTAATATATACGTAAATAATATAATAGCTGTCGCGGTTAGACGAGAGACGACTGTATATTAAAAATAATAATAGAGGTTCATGGCCTACATGGTGTTTCCAGGAGCACTTCAAGTCCACAACATTCCAGTTGCAACACATTTTCTAGATGTTTTATGGTTAGTTTACAACAAAGACGTGGTCATTTCAGCCTGTCACGTTGGCGTCTTAGCTGATATGTTGTCGTACTTTGGTCAAATCTCTTCACCTGCGTTGGAGAGACTAGAGACTTGTTTCATCTTTAACATGAAATATTGGTCACATTAACTCTTTAAGTACCTGCTTTTTCCTAAAAAAAGAAACGATCCAAGAACCTGTCTGGGATTGTGATTGACTTTTCAGCTGTTGGAGGAACAGAAATGGTCCGTGAGGCCATTGAACAGGGGGCAGATGGAACCCCACAGGGAACCCTGTCAGGTGTTTGATGTTAACGATCACTGAGTCTGATGATCAGAGCTGCGGTGGTTAATTTTGAAGTTGTTTCACACACGTGTACAGCATCTGGAGCTGGAGCTGGAGCTGCGTTCATATGTGGACTTCATGCCAATGAGACGCTCTCCTGTTTTTACCCTGTGTGAATGGAGAGCATTGTGAACTGACAGTCAGCTCCTTTGTGTGTCTGTCAGTATCGGGGTCAAAAATTAGCAAAGGCTCGTCGGGGGGGGAAATGTGAGACAGTTTTCTTACATTTTTAGAAAAGGGCATTAAATGTATTTGCAAAAATCCATGCGATGAAAAAGATTTTACTCAGACATTTTTTTTTGCAACAGACAAAAACAAGACTCGTAGTAAAAAAACAAAACAATGAGGGACAATTCTTTCTATTGGACATTTTTTTTTTTTGGATCAGATAAAAACAAGACTCATAGTAAAAAAGAAAACAATGAGGGACAATTCTTTCTATTTTTACCTCCATTTATCTTGTGTGTTTTGAGTGTTGTCCTGGTCGTATCTGTGGTGTCACAGAACAAAGGAAAAATGGGATTTATCTTAAGAATGTTGTCGATGGTGGAGTTAAAGAAAAGCCACACCCACGTGAACTCTGGTTTGTTGATCTGCCCACGCCCGGGGTCTGCACCAGAGGAAACAACATAACTGCTGGTTAAAATATATGAGAGAAAAGAGATCACTGTTTTAATTGTTGTTTTATATGTAAAAAAAAAAATTGTCATTTTTCTATTAACTATTTTTTTAACCTTGTCTCGGATCTAATTTTCATCTTTTCACCTACTTAATTTTTTGTCATAATTTTGCTCAACTTTTAGCTAATTTTGGTAATTTTTTTTAAATACTCTTCTCTAACATTGTTAAATCCACTCCAGCATCAGTTTGTTGTGGTTAAGTTTGTAGTTAAAACCTTTTCCCTCTCTGACCAACTGGTTCTAAGATTTTCTTCTTGTCGAACTTGAGGCAAAATAATCTGCCTGAACTTTGAGGATGTCATTTGGCAGCTTTGGTATTTATCCTTGGACCAATGTGCAGTTGACTTTTGCTTCCTTTGAGATAACGCTTATCGACTCAGTAATCCTGAGAGTCCTCTAATGTTTATCAAACATTTGGATTCTTCTGCAGAGGTTTGTTTTCGGGAATCCTCCTCGGGCTTTTAACATTTTTGTACTCCATCCAGAACCTCGACAAATTCGACCTTCCAGTGAATTTTGAGTCACAGTGAGTAAAAACGCGGCAGATTATTAATCCCTTCATGCACACACCGTATCAACCCAGCAGCACAACAGCCCTGGTTTATTCCTGCTCTTATTTTTGGCTCAGTTGAATGGAGCGGGTCTGTGAGCCCATCAGCTGTCTGTAGATGTTACATAACCCTGGCTGTATCTGTTTTCCTCTCTTAGCAACCATTACAGCTCCTCTTTTTTTTTTTCTACAGAGTGGCAGCACTGGCCCCATTAGTCAAGGCGGCGAACGCTGCTGCACAAAATGGAAAATTACTTTCTCTTTGTGTGAGGGGGGGAGATACAGAGGGAGGAAGGGGGTGGGGGGTAAGAAAAGAGTCAGCTTCAGATAAATGCCAGGCACAGACACTGCAGGGATTTATTTGATTTCAGATGGAACTTGTTTTTTTCTCTTTTTTTTCCATTTGACCTTTTTGCCTTTTCATTTCCAGGCATCGGTTTTGTAATTCTGAACACTGACATTCAGATATTTGTTTTCCAAGGTCCTCCTCTCGTCACCGCTGCTCCCCCCACTGCTCCTCACACCCCTGAACACAAACCCAACGATGACCCCCCCACCTCTTTTCCACCTGGAGCTGAACCTACTCCATCCTCCCACCCTAACCCTCCACCAGAGGCACCAAAACCCACCGGTGACACCTTGGACCCTCCAGACCGTCCAGAGCCGAGGCCAGGTCCCACCTCCACTCCACCTTCTCCCACGACCACCACCGCAGCCTCGGAGCCTGACCCTGTCACACCCCCCATCAAAAAAGATGTTCCCCCCGCTCCACCGCCTCGTCCTCCCCCTCGGCCCCCGGCTCCTCCTCGCCCTCCGAAGGTGCCGGACAACCAGGCGCCCGACATCTGCGACGGAAACTTCGACACGGTGACCATGCTGAGAGGAGAGATGTTTGTTTTTAAGGTGAGGAAGTGAACGAAGTACGTTATCATCAGAGTCGAACCCTGTGAATATATAAAATATATGAAGAGGAGGCAGTGATTTATCCAGGGACTGAACAGCGCCCTCCTGTGGAATATCTGTACAGTGTTAGTTATTTCAGTAAGGTCAGAATGTTTGTCTGAGCAGCTTAGAGATCTTCATATATGTAACATTGTCAGTTACATTTTCACTTTTTTATCGTATATATTTCATAATAGTCCTGAGCTAGCTTAAAGTTAGCTCAGGACTTGCTAACTATCATGACAGACAACTACATTTACTGTGTAGCACGATAGCTAAAGATAGACAGAATAAAAACTTTACCAGTGTTGACTACAATTTGGTCAAAATGGAGCGTAAAGTTCAAAAGGTTAAAGATAAAGTTGGACAAACAAGATTTAATTTAATCTTAAAATAATATGTAGCATAAATAGCTAAGAGTTAGCCTTAAGTTCAGCAATGTTAGCCCCTGTAGATAGCTGTTAGTCTCGACAAGTTTGCATTTGTGTAGCGGTTAGCACACGTGACTTGGAAGGTCCAGGGTTCGATTCCCAGAGGAACCACACGCTTGGCGCTAGGTGCAGCAAATCTGCTGCTAACACAACAATTTCCAAAATATGGGATCAATATATTACAAATTTATTTTTTTTATTTAAATGTCAAAACAGCATAAAATATGGGATCAATATATTACACTTTTTTTTTTTATTTAAATGTCAAAACAGCACCAGTCATTCTGTTCTGTTTTATTTTATTCTATTCTATGGAACTCTGTAGGATTTCTGTCCTGTTCTATGGAACTCTGTAGGATTTCTGTCTTCTCAGCTCAGATGTATAAGATCAGTCCTTCTCTTCCAGGGTCGATGGTTCTGGCGTGTGCTCAGGAACCGTGTTCTGGACAGCTACCCCATGCCCATATCTGTGTTCTGGAACGGTCTGCCCAATGACATCGACGCCGCCTACGAACGCCACGATGGCAAATTTGTCTTCTTTAAAGGTACAGTCTGTCACAGCTGAAATCATGAGTCGTCGCTGTGTGTTTTAACCAGAAAATAAAGAGAGGGAAAAAAACACACAAATGTACACTTTGATTTAGAGCAGAGAGGAAACGGTGCAAACTCAGCGTTTCTGTTTTTTGTCACGGCACGGCGTGAGTGATGTCATCGTGCAGAGCTCCAACTGTAGCTGATGATTCAGGGTGTTAACAGTTCTAACAGCCCCGTGCCGTAAAAAAAAAAAAAAAAAAGATGAGGTATTGCATTCCGTGTTTTTTGCAACTCATTGCTGATGTGTGGAACGAGGTCTGTGCAGGACGGCAGCTGAGCCTCTTCGGTCCAACCGGGGCCGACCCTCCAGGCCTCTCCATCAGAGCTGGAGCGTTGCATCAGCTGCAGCTGTGGAGCCTTCAGGTTTCACAGTCGGGGTTTTTTTTTTTTTTATGGCCGTTTGTCACATAGTTTCAGGATTCTCTCTCTGCTCTCCACCACAGCTTTGCATCAGTTTTGCATCATGATCCTGGCGTGTTTTTTTAGACGTGTTCTTCAGGGAGACACACAAACTGAAGGCGTGTTTGTGTCTAACCTGGGAAGAGGATCCGTTAGTTCTTACTTCACCGGTCTTGTTCTCTGTCCAGTATAGATGCTAAGAATTTGTAACAATATATGCTAATATGCTAACTAACTAGCTTGTTGGGCAACTTTCAGAAAGTAATTTTGGGCCACGTTTCAGTTACTGTTTGGCTTTGAATTGGAATTTATTCTCCGAGTTTCCTGGTTTTTTTTTTTTATTTTAAGGGTTCTAAAAGTTCCTTAAAACTTCAGCTGTGTTTTGGCTCACGTTTGTATTCTTTGGCTAATCTTAGCCTTCTTCTTTTTTTTGCTGTATTTAACATTCAGCATGTGTGAGACATCTCGTCCAGTTCAGGTTTGTCCAACCTTCAGGTTTTGAATGTTGGTCTGTTTTTAATTTTAAAGAATGTATGAGGTAACTTTGAGCTATTTTCTGCTGTCTTTTCTACAATGCTGGACCAACGTCTACATGTCACACATGTCACTGTGATGACTTGGACTTTGACCGTCAACAACTTCATGTTTATAAAACGTCATTGGGTCTTAAAGTTATCAAAGCAGAAGCAGTTGGTCCTTAGATATTTCTACACCATCAAATCCTCACCTTGACCTAGTGAAGATAATTTAAAGTTTAAATGTATTTCATGTCTAAGCAGTTCATTAAACTCTATTTACTGTATTATGTTGCAACACTGCAGTGAATTAAACACTGGATTAAACCACAGGAAAAGTCCGAGTCGTGCCAACTGTTCCCACCTTAACCGACCTTTCCACGTCTCTCCTGCAGCGCCCTCTTGTCCCGCCTCCATATACCCTCGATTTTTAGCCCTATGTTTGCCTTCTTTGTTTTTTCACGCCTTGATTTTTCCATTCTTAAAAAAATAAGTTTTGTTTTTTTTTAACTTTGGCTGTGACACACACAGATACTGGTTGTTCAGGGAGGCTGACGTGCTGCCAGGATACCCTCAGCCGCTGCACGAGTATGGACGAGGAGTTCCAACACAAAGGATCGACACTGCAATCTGGTGGGAGCCCAATGGACACACATACTTCTTCTCAGGAGACAGGTACCACACACACACACACACACGCACACTAAAAAAATACCATATTGACTGGATTTGACTTTATCTTGATTAACACCACACATCCTGCCAAGGTTGGAATAAGATCTGGCAACCCTTCTGATTATGAGCCTGAGTCTTTTAAAAGATTTGGCTGTTGTCAAGCAGTGGGGGAGGGAGTGGGGGGGTGTGTGTTATTATATCATGACTATCATGAAGTTTCTAACGCTGGAAATGTAGGAATGTGTTATGAAGTTGGGAGTGGCAGCGAAATACTTGATTGTGGTGCAGGACATGTAACATTAGGTTAGCGTATGTGGTTGGAGAAGCAGATCGACTATTAGCTTCTTCATTGGTTTAAAAATAATTTTAAAAATGATTCCTCCATTGCGTCTGCCATCTGAGTGACTTAATCATTTCTGGTAGCTGGTGGTGATCTTTACTCTAAACGAAAATCCCTTTAACAGTTAGCTCCAGGTTGTTATTGTCCTAAAGTTATGTGTTAGCTTCGCTGTGTCGTAGCACTTCAGATAAAAGTCATGCATAAAGGCTAAAATGCTTGTCATTTTCTACACCATCTATTGGGGAAATGTGGGTATTGCAGGGAAAAGGCAGAAGTACAACGATAATATAAATAAATTATATAATTTGGAAAAAGTTTGGCGGGACGCATTAAAAAGCTGAGCGGGTCGCATCTGGCCCCCGGGCCTTAGTTTGCCCAGGCCTGCCTTAGACGTTACTGCCTACAGATACTAGTCAGCAGTACCGTCAGTGTTACGGTGCGATCACTGTGTGTTGTTTTGCCATCCGTGCCTGCAGATACTGGAGATACAACGAGGAGAGTCGAACCACAGACCGTGACTTCCCTAAGCCGCTCAACAGATGGGGCAGGATCCCTCACTCGCCCAGAGGAGCCTTCCTCAGTGAGGACGGAGGTAAACACTAAGTTATAATAAGGCAAAAACATTTTTTTGGTTTGTTTGTATAAAGGAAGTGAAGATCAGGGCTGTTCGTACAAACGTTGACATCAGGAGAGCAGCGTGAGTGGAAACAAGGTGAAAAGATGGAGGTTTTCAGGTGAAGTGAGCCGCGCTGAACAGTCTGAGGTCTGAGATTCCCTGCGAGTGAACAGTCTGAGGTCTGAGATTCCCTGGATCTTCTTTCTTGATGTTTTTTTTTCTCCAGTCTTCCTGCAGGGGAAGGGTTTCTTTTAAATGTGCTTCACGTTGTCGGTCATTTACCGAGCAATTTAAACAGATCTTTTAGCCACATTTATTTTATGGATGTGAGCTATTAATGCTAACTTTAACCTGTTTCTGACTTAGGATTGGAGAATATAATATAGAAGATCTAACGTTTTCCCCAGCTAATGTCTTGAGCTAACAATTGCTCTTTTTAGCTCAAATTTACTTAATTTGTTAACAGTTATCTTTTATTTAAACCTTAGCTTTTAAGCTTTACTATTTTTGTACAAAGCATTAATGCATTTTTTTCTGGTCAGTTTATTGTTTAGCATTTCCAAGCTAAATTTTAGTTTTCTGATTTTGACGATGGGATTTTCTGGTGCACTGTCATGTTTTAGATGCTGTCCATTTGTATCGAACTGTGTTGAAGTCTGAAGTCTCACAGGAGGAGTGGGTGAGGCGAAAGAGAGAGAGAGAGGAATGAAGCCTCCGCTCTGTGGCTTGGCGTCTCATTCCTTTTGGAAATTAAATTTGTGGCCGAATTGCTTCAAATGGACTCTTCAGTGTTCAGATCTTATCTCCGCCTAAACTGCTCTCACGTTACGGACCGCTCGGTTTTTACCCAGAGTTTCACCACAGATGTCAGTACCAAATCTCAGCGTATCAGCTTTTCACGGTGTTTTGGTGTAAAACTTGCTGTTAAACTTCTAAATCCTGCCCTGGACCTGCTCTGGTACAACATGTGGGACGAGTGTAGAAAACCCCAGAGAGTTCCCTGAGGACACATTCCTGTGTCTGCCTTCATTTACACAGAAGATGAACTCAATTTTACCTTCTCCAGTAAAGAGGAGCAGACGTCAAAGTAATGATGATCCATCACTTTGAACAGTTCACGGCTTTGATTTAAGGAGTAATAAAGACAAGTGTCTTTCCGACTCCTCACGGTTTAGAAGACACACAAATATTCTACAACTACAAAATACAAGATTTTTTAAAAAAGATTTTTCAATTTGGAATTAGAGAGATGATAATTTTGGAGGGCTACGTTGTTTTCACCAGGACCTCGGTTTGACTTTGTTTAAAAACATTTGGCCAAATTTTAAAAGAAATAAAAGTGCAGTTGTTGCAAAAAGAAAATAAGAAACAAATAAAAATGTCAATGTTTAGTTTTTTTTAGTTTTTCCTCCTCCTCAGTATCCTCCATTTCTTCATTTGGAAACAACACACACTAACCTTTTTTTAAGCATCAGTAACTATCAGTAACTATCAGTTTAGCTCTAGTTCATTTTTAGCCACTTTTCCTTTATTTTGTGTTTTTATTTCATTCATTTTATGCTAACAATGGACTTTTTTTTCTTATTCTTTGTTGTCTTTGCAGTTGTAAAACTCCTACCTGCCACCAGAGGGCCGTAGGTCGCTGCAGATTACTGCTTCTTTCCTTGGGCTAATGCTAATGCTAATCATACTTAAATATGTGTTAACTGAGTTTTTTTTTTCTCTCGTAGCGTTCACATATTTCTACAAAGGCAGCAATTACTGGAGGTTCGACAACCTGCGGTCAGAGGCAGACCAAGGCTACCCTCGCTCCATCCTCAGGGACTTCATGGGCTGCGTACAAGCTCCAGTCCCCGAGCCAGACGTTGACCCCGAGAAGAGGCCAGAGAACGAACCAGTACAGCCTACAGACCCAAGCAAAAAACCAGACGAGGGCCAGACCACTGAGTCCGACGTCACGGACGGCGACGAAGACGAAGACGAAGACGTGAAGGTGGCTGTGACGGTGGCGGAGAGTGAGTCCAAGGTCATGACTCTGATCATGGTAACTGTCCCCCTGGTGCTGATCCTCATCATCCTCGTCCTCATCTACGCCATCATCAGGACTCTGCAGAACAAGGAGACGCCCAGGTCTTTGGTGCACTGCAAGCGGTCGATGCAGGAGTGGGTGTGACGCCCCGACGTGGAGAGGATTACACGAGGGTTGATGAATTTTCTGGTGAACTCCTTTTTCACCACTTTTGTACTCGCTCCACTCTGCTCCGCGGCGGAAAAACAAGCTTTGTCACCACTTTTGTACTCGCTCCGCGGCGGAAAAACAAGCTTTGTCGCAATTTTCAAAGGCACAGAAAAAGCTGCAGGAAAGAGACTAGTTTTTTTTTCTTTTTCTTTTTCTTTTTCGTTGGTCCAGCTTGTGTTTCTCAGACGAAGCGCTGGTAAATTTAGTACCTTTGAGCTGCAGGGTGGATTCTTACCTGCAGTCGCCCAACGTAAACGTTTATACCTGTGGCCTTCAGATGCCTTCAGTCTGTTATACTCCAACCGCATGCCTTAAAAAAATGCAAAAAGACTGTTAACGATATTTCTGCTCAGTGAACAGCGAAGGGAACACGTTTTTGTATCGTTTCAAAGAGGTTAACTCCAGACAAACACGTTGTACATACAAACAAGCGACTCTAACAACGCTGCAGTTTGACGTTGGTTCTTCAACCAGTCGTGACTTTTCTGCTCAAATCTCCAACAGATTATTTGCACTTAGTTTTTTCTTTTTTTGTCGTTTCTTTTGCCCTGTTTTGTTTTGTTTTTATTCACTGCAGATGTGTGTGTGTGTGTGTGACTGTGGAGAATAGACTTATGTGTTGATTGAACACACACACACACACAAACACACATGGGAAAGATAGGCTTGTCCTCCAACTGGAGTAGGAATGCCAGACAGCTGTGTGTCCACGTCTGCCCCTCTCCCACTGAGACCATAATGTTTTGCCCCAGCCCACAAAAACACACACACACACACACACACACACGCATCACCACCACGTGCTCTGACCCAGATGAACTAATCTGTACATGCACGTCTCCATCAGACACGCAAACACACCACAGGTTTGGCCACCACTGTTCTGTGGTGTGAAAACACCTGAGGCTCCAGAACACTTTATTATGTGTGAGACAGATACGACACATAAACACTCACTTTATGTTTATATTGTAATGTAGTAAAAATCCAGGCCACCTGGTTTTCGACAATGTTTTAGTTTTAGTTTTTTTTTTTTCCATGGAGTTAAAACCAAATACACAGGAAGCAGTGATGAATATTTTACCACAATGAAAAGTTACAGAATACTACGACCTGAGGGCTAAAATAATACATTGTATTATGGCTGAAAATGGCTGGAAATGAGCAAAATAATTAAAAGTAAAAGAGATATTGTAACTCGTGATGAATATGTATAATAATAGAGACAACAAAATAATCCATAAATATCTTAAAACTAGCAAAATAATTAAGCTAAAAATTGGAAACTTAAAAACAAACTAATTTAGATCTGTAATAAGTCATAGTTAAAAATTAGATGAAACATTAAATATAACCCGGGTTTGTTTCCATATAAACTAAAGTTAGCCGTCAGTGGTGAAAATTACTTAAAATAATGTTAAATTTAGCTTCAAAACTAGCGTAACTTGGAAAAAAACTGTAATTATGAACAGAAATGATCTCATAAAAGGTCATAAAACTTAGACATAAATCACAGACCACATAAAACCTGGGCCGTAACCCGTGGACACGACGGGACCGGGCCGACACTTCATTTTTAATTAACCACAACCAGGTGACACTTAACCCCAACTTTACCTCCAACCACAGCTGGTTAAGAGCGTGTGATCTGGTTTAAACACAGAGCCACAGAAACAAGGTTCTGTGTCTTTAGAACCAGGTTCTGCTCCTGATGTAGACTACGAGTCCTAGACGACGAGTGTGAGAACACACACACACACACACACACACACTCAGTGAAGGAGGATTTGCCCAGACAAAGGCACACATGAGTCTTTTTACCCACAGACTCCCAGGCTCCGACCTTCCCTCCTCCACCCACCAGAACCACAGTCCCCGTTCAGACCACACCATTATAAATAAAATATCAGGATCCCAGCGGAGGCGTATTGATATACGACTGGTGCTGAGGCTGGGAGTCCATGCACCGGGGGCCAAATCAGTCCCTTCTCACAGGCACAGCTGAGCAGCGCTGCCGTCTGTGGATGTGGATGTGTGAGCGCTGAAAACCTTGCAGCATTTTTCTGTTTTTCTGCATCTGCAATTCTTTCTTCTTCTTCTTTTTTTTTTCTTCTTTTTTCGTGTCTTTTCCTTGGCCCTCAATGCTGGAGCCAGGAGGAATCAGAGTGAATTTAAGAGAGAGAGAAGCCTGCAGGCGAGAGAAGAAAGAATGGGTCAGGGTCTGGTTTCCATTAAAGCCACATGTTGCTGATTTAGTGGTGTCAGGCGTGAGGAGGGGGGAGGAAGAGGGGGAGAGAGGGGGAGAGGAGGGAGCTGAGTTTGGAAAAAATGCACAGGAGAAGAAAGGAAGAGGTGCTGTGGAGTTTGGAGAAGAAAAAGGAAGAGGATGAAGAGGGTGAAGGGGACGGAGATGGGAATGAGTTCGTCCTCTATTTCCTTTCTATGGAAACAGAGAGAAGGAAAGGGAACGAAGGCGTTTCGGGGAAGGGCAGCGCTGGCGTTGCACCTCCTGACCCAGATCGAGCTGCAGCGTCGACTCCTTCCTTTTAACTCTTGGCTCTGCTTGTTTTCATGAGCTGCACAGATGACTTCCTCTCTGACACCCACCATCAGAACCATCTGTTTACACTCTCCCCCCTCCTCGTCCAGCTTGTGCTGCTGGTTCTCTGCTCACAAATGTACAGAAAGATTCATTATTAAAATAATTCCTGTTTTCCTCATTTAAAAAAACAACTTTTACCACTTTAGTGTTTTAGTTCCTTTGTATCCTTTTGTGAATATTTCTGGGTTGTTGTTTTTTTCTTTCAACCATTTTCATTTTATTATTAGCGTAGAATTGAATATTTTTTATTAAATCTTCTTTTCTTTTTTAATGAACTTCTACAGAACGTTTTGTAATTTTGTACATTTTGAACAGCAGTAGATTGCTCCTAGGATGTGAATGCATGCAGGGCATGTTAGCCTAGACCTGTGTAGAGATTTCACTCAAGACTTCGCAATAAAACCCACGGGAAAAAGCAACACAAACGGTGCAGTCTTTTATTGTTCAAGGACGTTATTTTACATTTGGCCACTAGAGGGATGCGTTGTCTCTACAATCACAGAACTGTGATGGAATTTAGTGTTTTACTTCAGTAGTATGCAGCTCTATTAACTTGAATAATACATTATTACACGATAATTAATTTAGAAAAATTAATAACTTTTAATGCATTTTTTCGTAAAATTATTCTAATATTAATAACTCGATAAGTCTAGTGCTAAGGGGGCTAATGTGCCATTTCCTCGTAAAGTTGACAGGTAAAATATGTGTACCATGAACGTATTTCAAATAAAAATATGTTTTTTATGCACATAGCTTAGTACAGAAGGCAAAAATAACATAAGGCACAATTTAATATGGAATTCAACTATTTTATTATGGATTCTTCTCCTTTCCTTCCTCCCTTTTGGGTTGTTCCCAACAGCACCCTCTGCTGGAGAAGAGAAGCTGCACATGAGCTCGAAATCCAGGTAGCCAGGTAGCCCGTGAATAACTTCACATCCGGTTACTATCTGGTTAGCTTTGCAGCCGTTTTTATTGCCTCTGTTGGAGAAGGGAAGCTGCAGATTAGCTCGAAATCCAAACAACTACAGCCAGGTAGCGCGTGAAAAACTTCACATCCGGTTACCACCTGGTTAGCTTTGCAGCCGTTTTTATTGGTTTCAACTAAATCTTGGCCCAAACCTTGTTTATCATGTGTTTCCCAGATGTTCATTTATAATTATTGCGGCGAATGTGGTTTGGAATATTCAGTGTAAATCTGTGTGTCATTGACATGTTCCTCCAGCTCATCCTCTGAGCCGTTAATGGGATCTGTTGCCCACGGCGTCACTGGAAGCAGGGAATCCAGCGTATTTCTCTGTAACAACCGTGCGGTTACACGGCCTAATTCATGTCAAATGTCTGACTCAGCTCTAGTTTTTACACGGAACAATACTTTTTATATTCTTCGTAATTTTATTTTATCGGTATTATTTGACTATTAGAACGGCAACAACAAAAAGTTTAGCAGTACATTAGCATGTTAGCAGAAAATTAGCAAGTACTGGACCTCGGCTAATACTCGTAAAACTTGAAAATGTATCCAATTTTTTAGGCCCAAGACGTTTGCGAAATCTGATTTATTCTTTTATTTAGTCAAAAGTAATTTATATAAAATTAACAAAACGTGAAGCTACTGTATTAAATGGTTTCTTCTCGTTATAATGAATTTTCTTGCTAACCTCCATCTATGTTTGTAATCTCTTATTTATGATTTAACTAACAGTTAGTTGACCTACATAATTACTTTTAGAAACTATCTAAAAGTTGTTAGCCACCTTTCAGTCACATTTGTTTTCAATTTTCAGGTAAACGGCTGAAAAAAAACCCTGTGGTTTCAGCAGGTTTTAATCTATCATTAAAAAAGAAAAGTGAAAAGAAAACCAGCTTCAGTCACATTCTGCTTCCTTTGCAGTTAATCTGTGGTGGCCTCACAGATTGGACGGGATTGTGTCTTGACCTTCAGGCGGTGCTGCTTAATCTCATTAGTCTCGTTTAGTCCACTGTGTAAATCTCGGCACACTCACGTTGGCCCGCGGCACTCTGGATGTCCACGGCAGTGTGGTATGAGGAGCCACCTGTAGACGAACAGGTGAGTAAAACAAACTATATAGAAATATATACCACATATACACACATATATATATTACATAAATGAAAACAAATGTGTTTGTTGTTGTTTTTGTTCCGTGTGGGTCGTCTGTCCACTCAGTTCCATTTAAATACATGATGAGCCATAGGAGACTAATGATGTTAAACGTACAGCTCTCTTCAGTTTGACTCTGTATAAAAGCTGAATTTTTATATCTATGGGAAATTGAATCGATGGAAGAGTCTTATTTTTAAAGCCGTACTCTCAGCGGACGTAGAAGAAGGTGGAGGATTTTTTTGGCAGCTCTGAACGTCTGGTGTTGATCCAGGCTGATGATGTCAGGAAGCAGGAGAACAAAGCAGGAAGGAAACACAGCGTTGTACTTAATACTGCGACGATGAGATTAACTCGCCGTGATCCGTGGCTGACCGGGACAGAAGTTTCAGGCGTCAGAAGGAAATCACATCAACAGATCAACCGGTTTTTAAGTGAACTTGGAACTGGATTTCTTTTTTAAACTCAATCCTAAAACCGTTTTCAACTTCTTGTCCACCACACCTTTTGAACCGTTTCTTTACAAAGTGGAAGATCAGCCATTTTATCGTGTGTCTTTCTTGTTCAAATATGGAAAGATTTCTTTTAAGAAAAAAAGTGTTCTGTTTGTTATAAATATTGTATACTAGTGCGATAGATAAAATTATAAAACAAGTGAAGAATGTTACATCAAGGGCAAAGTTAAATGATTATTATTGACATCTAGTTTTCAGCCACATGTGTAGGGAGTTATCGGCCAGGAGTGGGCCCCCGGGCCAGCAGTTGAATCCCCCTGCCTTTGTCTCCTGTTCTACAGTAATTGCCCTTGACTGGTTTTGCAGTTTCACTGGCTCTCTGCCCCACAGTGGATTAACTTAATTAACTTAATTAACCTAATTATCTCTAACATGGGATGATTTGCACATCAAGGATTAAGTTAAACAAATCTCACTGCAGTCGTCTGAGCATCTCTGGGTCCAGTGGACTGTCGCTGTGTAAGAGTCAGTGCTGTCTTCACATTCGTGAGTGACGGTGCCACCTGCTGGTACGGCAGCTAACACAACAGTAGTGTTTGATGAAGAGTCTCTTTTTTTCTCTCTCTGTCCAACAGGATGTTTAACTGGGTGGTGAAAGTGGTCCCTCAACCTCCTGAAGTTCCAGAGACCCCAGAACCCGTCAAGGCCCCGGCTAAGGTACGAACACACACATACACAAACTACAACCTCAAAACACCCTGTCACTCACCCCACAACAATCGTAATGTACAACAGTAATCATCATCATCATCATCATCATCATCATCATCATCAGTGTGCAGCATTCACATTCTAAACACAACTAAAAATAACCAGTCAACATAATATATAAGGGAGGTATGGATTCTAATCAATAATATTTAATATATAATGAATATATATAAAAAGACCATGTATTGAACAAGAATATGTCAATCTATCAAAATTAAGAAAAAAAAAACTTTTACTTTCAACCATCCATTTTAACTGCTTTGAATTACATATTATATATACATAGTCGGTAAGTAGTTACAAAATTGATCAATAAAATCAAATCACATACAGTATAAATTAGCACAGTTCAATTTTTTAAATCATGTGTTATTTAGAAAACACATCCTTTTTTGTCACATTTTATTTTCTCAAATATTGAAGTATTTATCAGTAACCTAAGGGGTGCAGTTCAAACTCTCAGTTTTTCATTTTGTCACAGTCGATGACTTCACTTCCCATACTCCGACTTATTATTCACCATTTCAGAATCACACAGACGTTTTATCAGAGTCACATCCGTTTTGACTGCTTATTACTTGATGGGGCGAAAAGACAGTCCTTGTGCTGGTAATGAATAGTACGGAACCACACTATAAGCACTACTGGGCATGGCATCACCTCAATTGTGTACGAAACGGGGTATTTTCTGACGCATTTAAATAATCAATAAATCCGCAAGTAAATAAATAAAATGTTTGTACTCACCAAAACAGCTGTCCTCCTATATACTAATTTCTTGACTTTTTTTTTTTTTTTTTTGTAATATATAGTAAAATACACACTTGTGATTCATGCCTAACACATCTGAAAAAAACCCTCATTTAACCATATTCTCGACCCCACAATGTGTGTTTTTGTTGTGTCTTTGATATTTCAGGAGCAAATATGTGAGGCAAGATTTTTGCATACCCTGAAGATATGTGATTTATAGCTGGGTTGGCCTCTCCTTGAATCGCAACCTTACAGTCAGGAGAGGACGGTGAAAGGTACGGTAAGATTAGAAAATATAGTAGAAAATATTCACATACACACAGATCAAACACACACACACACAACCTACAACATAGATCAATCACACACGACTTACAACAAAAACAGTAACAATGTTGTTTGTCCTCCAGGCCTGGAGTCATCAACTGGGTCGCTCAAGGTCTGACCAAGGTCCTGCCTCAGCCTCAGGAAAAGTACAAAGAGACTGAAGAGGAGGAGGAACACACTGAGGTCAAGTGAAGAAGAACCATGTACTCTGACGGTCGTGTACTGTAACAGAAGTACATGTAACAGAAGTACATGTAACAGAAGTACTTTTAAATCTAAATGAACGGATTCATCTGTTTTACATTGATTCTTATGGGAAAAATAGTTTTAGTTTTCCAACGTTTTGGTTCATGAACGCCCAAATTAAGTTCCACTTCACTTTAGTTGTTTTTTCTTATTCTCCAAAAATCTCAAAACCTGATAAATCACCTTGGTAACAAATCCAAAAGACATTTTAATAAACACAATTTTTCTCTCTCTCTGCTCCTCCAGGTCTATGAAGTAGCCACAATGCCAGGTCGGTGCCTTCTCCTCATTACAGACCTGTCCCTGATTTACATACTGTGATGACTGTAAAGTGATTCTCATCATCACAGACAACTCTGTGTCTGTACTTTATGATCAGATTATGACCCACTCCCACACATCCCAGTGGTGGAGATGGTGTCGGAAGACGAGGAGGAGGAGAATCCGAGTCATCAGTTTCCTCCAAAGTGAGTCAACCTTCCCTAAAAACATTATTGCCACTAATGACTGGCAAAATCACCTGCTCAAACCTAAGGTCCGCAGCCCAAATGTGGCCCACATTAATATATGAGTTTGACACCACTACTACAAATAGACACAGTATTTACACTGTTACTCCTGTAATTCAAAGGCATTTAAATAGAACGTCAAAGATGCTAACAGCTAACGGTTTCTGTCTTCCGCAGCGTGGTGAACTGGGTTAGAAACATGGTCCCACAGCCCGTCATACGACCCTCTGGGGCCGTCATTGTGGACTCATCAAAACCCCCCCGTTCGACTCGATCCTCGCTGGAAAAAGGTAAACAAACTTAACTGCTACTGTCACAGTCACATCTAATATAAAACACACAGATATGTGTATTTGTACACACTGACCTGATTTGTGTGTGTGTGTTTTTCTTATCCTGCAGTTCTGTCTCCGCCCCCGTTTTTTCCTTATCCTGCAGTTCTGTCTCCGCCCCCTGAGTCTCTCAGTGGAATCTCTCTGGATACGGACAGTAAGGTCTCGGGGTATGTGTGAACTGTGGGTGCAGGTCGAAACAGGGCAGCCAGGGGGCGCTAGTGTTCCATTCGTGACCGTATGATGTCTCTCTGTGCAGCGTGGTCGGCTGGTTCGTGTCAGGACTGGGTCTGAAGTTGCCTCAGCCTGTGGTTCCACCCAAAGGTGACGACGGGGTGAGTTACAATCACTGAGTGAGGTTTTTGTTTATCCTCCTAGAGGGAGAAAATGGAGCTGCATGCCAATCATATTGCCAATAAATGTATTTATTTATTTTGTTTTCCCACATAAAATTCTATGATAATAATAATGATAATAATAAATAACTGCTGTTCCCTTTGTTTTCTTTTTCTCAGGCTGCAGTTGAGGTTCTTCAAAAAGGTGAGAATTTATTTTAAAATTTTACTGTAAATTCAAACACTTTTTTTTAAACACCACAATCCACAGTTCTGTCCAGTGGACAAACATCCAATAATGACTTATTTGAAACTGTTAAAACTGGTAAAAAGAAAAATAGAACAGGATGCTTTTATTTTGCATATGTGTGTAACTCTCTTAAGTCCCTGAGGGGGGCGCTAAAAGCACAGGTTGTCAGTGAGTTGTTTTTTTTTCCTATATAATATATATATTTATATATAATTTATTGACATACAGTCTATGTCAATATAACAGGCTTCTTTTTCTTTAATAATTCTTAATTAATAATTAATAATTGTTTTCACATGAGTAAAATTGCTGCCTAGTTTTTGCAGAGCTGTTACGGTCGGCGGTCGGAGCCTAACTCAGTCCCTCTTCTCCTTCTGTTTCAGGGGGGAAGTCGCTCCGAGCCCCTTGAACAGCAGGAGGAGAAGACTGGGGGAGGCTCTGACGCCACCACAGGGATAGAGCGTGTACTTCACTACATGTACTCCACTACATGTACTCCAGTACATGTAGTGAAGTACATGTCTGTGCAGCTCAGTGCAGCAGAACTACAGTTATAGGCAGCTGTTAAACCCACCTGACAGTAATTCGTATGAATGTATGAGCTCATTAGACTCAGTTTGTGTCCTTGCTTTATTTTTATTTTTAAATTTGCACATCAACTGTAGTCTTTAACGCATAAGATTCAGTTGCAGAAAATAAATTAAATTGTCAATTGACTTAAACACAATAAGTTTAAAAACAAAAAAAAATCTTGTCTGTAATGTTGGAAATAATCATTAAGTGGCAGCTATTTGATTACAACTATTGTCTTTAATGTCATTTTTTTAGAGAAAAGTGCTAAAGGTGTATATTTTTGAGTTCTGTCCAGATTTCATTGCTTAAAATCTATATTTTCTTAATAAAGTTAGGCTGTGTTTATATTTTTGACCCTGTTATGGAATACGAATACTTGCAATAACGGCTGTAGGAGAAATAAATGGTTGAAAAGACCAACAGTGACGCTTTTAATTCTTCGTCTAGTGGGTGTGGACCTACATATGGGACATACTGTACAATGACATGAATCATGTGACCTTCATGGGTTTGAAGAGGATAAATGAACTTTCCTACATAAATACCAGTTGGTCAGGTTGATCTGACTCATAAAAAATATGACTTATTATTTTGAAATATTTGAACCGTCCATATTTTCCAAAGTCAGAGGCTATAAATAAAAAAATGTAACCTGGATATTTTTTTGGAGATTTTATTTTATTTACATAAGGTCAATTTCAAGGTCAGTTTATGTTCTTATCTAAAACTTACACTTTTTTTATGTTATGTTATTTTTTATTTGTTATGACATTTTGACATAAAAATCTTAATCATCCTAATCCTATCCCAGCTTCAGCCAAACTCAACCCTGACATGGTCCTTGAAGATGTGGAGTCTGACAACGAGTGTCAGCACAGACGTGAGGATTATCACGGTGGTCCAGGACCGACCGCAGCACTGACCCCTACCAGGCCGGCGTCAGAACAAACGGAGAACGGGAGTGAGCCGTGTCAGGAGGACGCGGAGACTCAGACGGGCCGCTGGACTCCTTTCATACAGAGCATCAAGATGGAGGCCGAAGGTGTAGCTCTGGCTACGATGGAGGAGCGGTAAGAGAGGAGGAAAACAACCCGGGTGAAGCTAAAGAGTTTAAAATGACCAACTGGAAAAAAAAAAATGTGTGATGATTCTCCTCAGACTCCTGCAGGAGCGCGTGGAGGTGGCTCGTATGGCTGAAGAAGTGGCCAGACAGACGGCGGAGATGGCCGTCAGACAGATGGCCTGTGAGGGGCAGTCCATCAAACTCTCACTGGGCAGCGAGGAGCTGCTGGAGGAGCCTGACGCTGGGTACGAAACATTACACTCTTAATAATAATAATATTTAAAAAAAGTGGTACTTTGGCCCAGAGGTCAACGTCTCTGTCGATGGTGTGGAACCCCAGGGTTCACCCCCTCGCCAAGATCCATTCCCGGTTAGGGCGGTTGGTACCTTCCAGTGGACTCACCACCTGCAGGAAGGTTTGGGGGGGTTGGTACGGTGGAGTGTGATTTGGGTGGCGGTCATGGAGACTGCTGCCCCCTGCGACCTTGTAACGGAGACGTGGATGAAAATGGATGGATGGATATTTAAAAAAACACACAACTGGAGTTGAAAATTAACTTCACTTCGGGCAGCTGCTAAGTTATCTAGCTAGACATCCTAATTGGAATTTTTTTTTCTAGTTAGCTAGGTAGCTAACTAACTCCCATTAGCTGTTGTTACATCCACAGACTGCGGCCCAGTTAATCCCTAATCCCCCAGGGGTCCTCGTTAGTCTCTCTCTCTCTCTCTCTCTCTCTCTCTCTCTCTCTCTGTCTCTGCCTTGTGCTGATTCAGCATCACATCCCTGCACTTTGTCATAGCAACCAAAGCTTCCCATGGCAACCGCTGCTGCGTCCCCTCCTCCCCCTCTGCCAGCCGTTCCCCCTGGCAACGCTCCTGCAGAAGACTCAGAGGAAGAAAATGATGGACGCGTTTGAAAGACAACATTTTTCACCTCTTTATTTTCCTCAAAATGTCTAAGTTTGTCCCTGAAGTTTCACTTATGAAAACGCTCACGGCGGTGTTTTGTGAGTGAGATCGTGTGGATGTTTTTCAAGAAGGGAACCGTTTACGACTGATGTGTTTGAATGTTGACATGACACAACAAGGTGAGAACAGCCGGCGAACACTGTTGTCAGTTTAGAGCCACAGATGAGTGGAATGAGAGTCGGGGTTTGGGTCAATGTGTTTCCTGCCATTTTGGAAAAAACAAGGAGTGTGTGTTTAGTATGAGTTTTTAATTTTTTAATTTACATTTAAATTTTTTTTTATTTTTCTACAGGTTGGATCATTGAGTTGGTTTTTGTGCAAACAATACAGAAAAAAAACAAAACAATTAGGTTGTCTACTTTTTTATTTGGCTTTAGTAACAATTGTTGCCGTTTGAGTTTTTTAAAACCGGAGCTTGTCCACAGTCGGTGTTCTTTCTTTTGCTCTGTTTAAGGAGAGACATTTCTTTAACAGAAAGAACTGAAAAACAGTGACTTATTTGAGATCATTTTCATGGCAACAAAATAAAGATTTATCTTTTTGTTTAGATTTTACATCAGTTTTTATTTATTTTCTCTTTCTTAAAATGACATTGCTGTGTTTAATGATATTTATAATTTATTTGGAATTTGCTGCAGGACCAAAGTGAGTCTTCCTGAGGAGACGTTGGAGGAGGAGACAGTTGTCTCCACCGACACTGTTTTAGGTAAAGACAAAACACTAGACTCATACAGAAACTGCTGTTGTTTTCCTCATCAAAGTGAATTCCTTTACAACTTCACATTCATATTCTAGACTCCACATCAGACACAGCAGCACAGCAGACTCCTCCTTCTCCAAGTGCAAGTTCTGAACCACTAAAGACCTCTGAGACCGGGACCAACCCGGCACCTGAACCTGATCCAGAGCCTGAACCTGAACCTGAACCTGTACCTGAACCTGAACCTGAAGTTGAAGAAGACAAACCTGAAACAAAACCTGAATCCGAACAAACCCGTGAACCTGAATCTAAAGTCCCTGCTGTTGATCTTACATCTGCTCCTGAACCAGAGACCAGAGAAGCTCCGCCTGTAACGCTGCAGCCGCAGAGAGCAGAGGAAGAACGTCCAGGGACCAGTACTGAGGACACACTTCAAAAAGTAATTATTAAAAACAAAAAAAATGGTGTACAGTGTATCATAACTCATTTCTTACATGTTGTTGTGTTTCTTAGGAGGAGGAAGCCACTGAGGACGGATGTGGGGGTTCGTACTCTTCTTTTTTAGCTGCAAAGAAATAGTTAACTTCACTGTGATGGTAAGACCTTCTCCATCCTTCCGTCCTCCTCCTGTCTGTCTGCCTGTCTCTCTGCCTGTCTCTCTGCCTGTCTCTCTGCCTGTCTCTCTGCCTGTCTGTCTTCTCCGTAGCTCCCGCCAGCTGTGATGCGTTCAAGAGCTGCCTGATGCGCCTGCCTCAAACCTCGGAGTGCTTCGGCAACATCAACGCTTTCTTCAAAGAGAACGGCCTCTCCTCCCTCAAAGTACCCCCCAGGCCCAGGCTGCCCACCCGCTTCTCCGACGTGACCAAGTACCTGCCCACGCTGCCCCCTGAATTACGCCAAGAGTTCTCGCAGATCAGACTCACTCAGGTTCCTCGGAACATCGCCCAGACCCTGACGGAGTTTTTACCCAAGAGCTCGGAGGGTTCCCTCGCCCCCAGTCTGTCCAGCCTTTCCCAGAGCTTCTCAACAATCCCACAGAAGCTCTCCCAGGTTCCCATCCAGACGCAGCAGTACTTCAACAACATCCGGAACCGCCTCAACAGCCTCCTGCCCCAGGATGCCTAAGAAACAACAGCAGCAGCAGCAGAAACAGAAGCAGGAGCAGAATCAGCAGGATGTAGAACTGAACCCACTCGTCAGACACTCCCCTCTGCCCTCTCCCCTTCATCCTCACCTCCGGTCCCGCTCCCCGTCTCCATGCTCGCTCAATGGCAGCACCCTGGAGTTGCCCAATGTGCCGTCCTATCCGCGCCTGCCGCCAATAGTCAGCCCACCATCGAAACAGTTCCAGTCCCCGTCCCACCAGCTGTCAGGCCTCTCCAACCCCGCGTTCTTCATCGAAGCTGATCCAGATGTTTCACCAACAAGACCTGCAGGTGAATCTGTGAGCAGCAGAGGGCGTAACAGGACCTGGTGTAGTTCAGTTTGTGAAACTCAGACACGTTAAAATACCAACTATCAGCTCTTTTTTTTCTCCTCAAAACATTGGTATAAAATAGTGTTAAAATGTGCAAAAGGATGACTTTAGATCAGCTCGATATATCTGAAAGTATTCTTAGATGATCATGAAAATATTTAATGTTTTGGAAAAAAAAGATGAGAGTTTGTCATAAAAAAATTAGCAAAAATATATAGAAATATATATTTGAAAAGTATGTCCAAAGTTGTACCTCAAATATAAGTGTTGAGACTCAATGTATGTTTCAATAACACAGTCAAACACAGAGGTCCTCAGAACCTAAATTAGAATAATTTTCTAATGGACATAATTATAAAATGTATATATTTGATAGCTGTAAAGTTTCAAAACAGAGATTCTGATTGGAAGAAACTGTTACAGCTCAGTTTCTTTAAATACAAATGGACTTTTCAGTCTTGTGTTTTTATGTCCTATGAATACGTTTTAGGTCAAAGTAAAGGAACTAACGCCGTCTGTCAACCTCTTTAGAAACCTCCAGCCTTAGCCTCCACCCAGCTGTCAACGTGGAGGACGTGGACTCTGACAACGAGCCGAGGGAAGCAGGAGAGGAGGGACGGAGTAAGGTCCCTCAAATCCTGGCTCCACAGGATCCAAAACTCACAACCCTGACTGTCCCTGTGACTCCCTCTGGTGGCCGTCAGAGGTATTTGCATCTGCAGCACATCACACACTGTGTTTGAACAATACAGTCATGAGCTTCATGGTTTTGTTTGACAATATTTGCATGTTGTGTCTCGTTTATTCAAAGATACACATTACCTGTACCGATACTAAGCACTTTAACTCAACTCAACCCATAGTTTGGGCACCGAGCCGTTGTCCTCACCTGAAGGCGTAGGGTGTGACAGTGAAAACATGAAACAGTATTTGCATCTGCAGCACATCACACACTGTGTTTGAACAATACAGTCATGAGCTTCATGGTTTTGTTTACATGATCCTCTAATGTTGACAGGGACAGTATTTGGACAGTGTTGTGTCTCGTTTACTCAAATACCAAGTGCTGTAACTCAACCCAAACCATAGTTTGGACACCGAGTGTAGGGTGTGACAGTGAAAATATGAAACTCACCTCATGTTTTTTCTCTCTCTCTCTCCATAATTTTGCATCTGCAGTAAAGGAGACAAAGAGTAAGAGAGCGGCGCCAACAATCATGTGCATTCTGGTTCTTTGTTTTTTTTTTGTTTTGTTTGTTTTTTAATGTGAGGCATGTTCACCTTAGATTTTATATATATTTTTATTTATTAAAAATTAAGAAATAATAAATTTTCTCTCTGCCTCAAACACAATTAAAATCCTGTCTGTCTTGTTTCTCTTCTGAACGTGCACCACAACAGTGGAAGGAATCGCAGAACTGTCTGGACCAAGATGTAAGATGATGAATCTTTGGTCAATAACTACTTTAATTCACACATTGTATTTCCTTTAAAATGAGTAATTTACCTCTACAAATCAACTGAAGATGTGATTGTACGAATCCATACATTTTTAAATGTCATTTTGTTTTTGTGCTGTTCGTTTCTTCGACAGGCGAAGGTTTCATTCCCAGAGTGAGGATGACGATGATGAAGGAAATCTTCCGGTCAGAGCCTGGCCCAGCCAGTCCAGTTTGCACAGCAATGACGACAGGTGAGTACCGTGCACACACACACACACACACACACACAGATGCTGACAGACGGGTAAAATAATAAACACGATGATCAATTCAGAAAAATAAAATCAGCCATACTCTACATCAAGGGTCCACTGCTGTACGTGACTTCATGACTTTATTTTTGTCTATTTCCAGTTTGCGGGAGCGTCCGGCGTCTTCCGCCAGTCAGACCAGCACAGTGGTCAACGAGCGTTTACAGGAGTTGGTCAAGATGTTTAAACAGAGGACGGAGAAGGCCAAGGAGAAACTGATCGACCCTGACAGCTCAGATGAAGACAGCGTCGTCCCCTGTGAGTGAGGGTTTCACCTGACTCTGTCAAAACAACAAAAAAATTATTTTGGATTTCCATCGGATTATTCTGTAGCGTTCTGTCCAAGGTGACACTCTGAAACGGTATGCACTGATTGGTTGATAAGAACCAAACCTGGGAATGAAAATGGGTTTGAAAGACCAGTGGTTGAAAAATCAGTACCGACTAATTTTCATTACATTATCATCAGTGCTGTAAAATAATGAAAATCAAATTAAAAAGTTTGTCATAAGTCACGATTAATCGTGATTAATCAAGGTAAATAAACATTCCTCAATATGACAAATAAAATCCTGTAGAAAGAACGGTTTAAGTCTGTGATTTCTATCCAAGAAAACTCTAGCAACTCCACCAACCACAACATCTTTCTTCCTTTTTTTTTTTACTTTCCTTGACCTTGATTCTCAAACTTTACTCCACTTTCAGCACCTCCTCAGCCGGCTGCAGGAGAACAACAACCGCAGGACAAAGGAGACGTGGAGCCTCAGGCAGGTCCGTCAGGAGGAGGAAGAGGAGGAAGAGAAGTTGGTGAAGGAGCAGAGAGCGATGCGGCCCAAGAGCAGGCTGGGAGGTGCTGCAAGGTGAAATCTCCACGGTGGATGCGAGCCTGTCTGAACTACCGCTTGCCTGCCAGCATCGACCCCTTCACTAGTGAGAACCTGCCCGTAAACATCTGACTCTGGTTCATTTGAATTTCTTTAAATTAAAACATCCAGTTTTTAGTTTTTCAGGATGTGAAATAACCGCTGTCCTCTGTTTCCCTCCCTTTCTTTCCTGTTCATGAAGAACTTTCCTTTTTCACACAGATCATATTCTGATAGTTTTGCTTTAATATCATCTGTTCGTGCCAGTTTACCGTGACTAGTCAACCAGTCTACTGTAGAAGCCTGAGGCTTGTTCAGCGACGATGTTTACTTTTCAGTGAATACATTAAACGTCCAAACTGGTATTTTACATTTTTTAACTGAGTGATTCCAGGTAACACGATTCCAAGTAACACAACATAAATCTAGGAAAATATAAAAATAACCAAGTGTAAACACACCCAGTCCGACCTCTACCCTTTGACTAACCCTACGTTCCTGTGACTCTGCAGACCTGATGTACGTTCTGTGGATGTTCTTGGTGTCTCTGGCCTGGAACTGGAACATGTGGTTCATCCCCGTCCGTTGGGCTTTCCCTTATCAGACACCGGACAACATTTATTACTGGCTGCTGACCGACTACCTGTGTGACCTCATCTACATCCTGGACATCACCGTCTTCCAGCCGCGGCTGCAGTTTGTCCGCGGGGGAGACATTGTGGTGAGTGGAATGTTGGGATTGAGAAAAACAAAAAAATTAGGGATCTCCGATCATACCGGCCGACCGATATTATCGGCCCAATATTAGCATAATTATTTAATGTCTATAAGAATTGTTATCGTTTTTTCCTCCGATAATGAAAACCCGATAACACAATGGGTTTGGGAGAAACAGCTGTATATAAAAGTGAAGGTCACTAGATGGCAGCATTGCAGCTCATTTAATTAATCTCATATTCATACAGTGGTATCAGTTGATATCGGAATCGGAAATTAAGTGTTTGGACAATATCGGCATATCGGATATCGGCAAAAAGTTAATATCGGACATTGCTAAAAAAAATGATGAGTCATGGATTTGTTTTGCCGACAGAGTGACAAAAAGGACATGAGGAAGAATTACATGAAGACCAAACGCTTCAAGGTGAGTGACAACACCTGATCTTCTCAGATGGATGTTTGAATCAGTCGTAGTCACATTGTGTCTTGGATCTTCTTCAGTTTGACGTAGCCAGCCTTGTTCCCTTGGAGCTGTTCTACTTCAAAACCGGCATCAATCCCCTGCTGCGGTTGCCCAGGCTGCTGAAGGTAGAGTTGAATGAGTTTCTCTTCGAAAGTCACGATAATGTCCCAATGCATCCTTTGGTATGTATGTATATATATGTATGTATGTATGTGTATATATATGTATGTATGTATGTATATATATATATATATAT